TTCTTTGCATCAGATTACTTTGTTGCTTTATTGAGTAAACTATTTCATGGAGATCCATTTTTGAAAAATCAGCCACTCAACCCCCCCTGGGACACAATTCTACTCTGACCTCCATAGAGTTCAGTGAGTTGAACTTGAGTGATGGCAAGTGGATTGATCGACAACTGGCATTCCCACTTGGAGGGCAGACTAAGTGCCATTGCAGAAAACTCGGGCCTATCTATAATGTGCTTTGAGTGTGGAATCTATTCATGGGAATAACCCCGATTGTCTAATATGTTGTACGCATTAATAAAAGGATCGCTGATAGTAGAAGGGGTTACTATTAGGTCAGCCATTAGAGAAAGATGAGGCTGCTGCTCTGTTGCAGAAAGATGAGGCTGCTGCTCTGTTGCAGAAAGATGAGGCTGCTGCTCTGTTGCAGAAAGATGAGGCTGGGCGACAGAAAAGGGCAGTTCTCTTCAGTCCGACAGGGCCCGGAAAGGTCACCATGCGTTGGAATCAACTCGATGGCAGTAGGTGGGGTTCATCAATAGAAAACACAAATATTTCCATCCTTAGAAATACAATGATGGTCAGGCATGGAAACATGGTGTCATGTAATGCCGAGAGAGGTGCTAACGAGAGCTCAAATTTTATTCCATAAATCGGCATCCGAAGTCCGGAAGTGAAGTTTCTCTACAACTTTACATTCCAGTTGGCTGAAAACCAAGACTAGAGTCCTGATCTCGGTTCCTGTCATGGCAGGATTTTGATACAGTAACTTCAGGCCTTCCTAAAACATGTTCGTGTCTCAGACTCTGTGCTCACAGCTAAGCCAGAACAAGTCCCAGGAGGGGTGAGGACACAGCTACTCTAATGGAGCATGACACCTGCAGGTAAAGAAGCAGCACCCCACCCCCCACCATATACATCCATGCTATGGAAAAGTCACCTGTCGACACTAGGTTGAACCAACACCAGTCGAGAAAGGCTAAGGACAGGTTCCTTCCACCCTTGAAGTGAAGAGAACATGGCAAACATGTTAAGCAATCCTATTAAGAAAGAGGCGTTCTTGCTCCATTAAAATCAGGCAAGGATGCGGGCAAGCAGAGCTAGCCTCCTGACCTAAGTTCTGGGTAAAGTGAGATAGCAGAGGGCCTGGAGCAGAAATATTGCAAAAGTCCAGAGCTCCTTCAGCTAAAGGAAATTGCCACTGTTCCATGTCTCCCCCTTTGTTCCAATTCTTGGCCCAGTCTGTAAAACTGTTGTCAGGGCCATAATTAGCGCCCACAAATTAGGAATAATAAAACTGATCATGCAGTTTTATTCCTGATCATGCAGGAATAATAAAACTGATCCCGAAGAGGCTCAAGGAACACTGGTTTGTTTAGCTCTCCAGGTCAGGATACGCTTGGTTTCTCCAAAGGACCATCATGGAGGTAGACGAGTGAGCAGGGAATAGGCAACACTGTCATCGTTCTGCATCAAGTGAACCTGGACTCCTAGGACCCTTATAGAACAGCACAGAACTGCCCCATAGGGTTTCTAAGGCTGCGTTGTCTATGAACGCTGGACAATGAATAAGGAAGATAAAAGAAGAATGATGCATTTGAGTTAGGGTGTTGATGGAGTACCAAGCATTGCCAGAAGAACACACGAATCTGTCTTGGAAAGAGCACCGTTAGAGCGCTCCTCAGAGGGGAGGCTGGTGAGACTTGATCTCACATACTTTGGACATGTCATCAGGAGAGACTAGTCCATGCAAAAGGACGTCCTGGTTGGTGATGTCAAGGGTCAGCGCAAACAAGGACGCCCTCCATAACATAGACGGATACAGCGGCCACAAATAAACAGCTCAGAAATAAACCGAACAACCGTGAGGAGGGCACAAGAGCACGCCTTGTTTCCTTCAGTTGTATGGAAAGGTAGTGAGGGGTCGGAACCAAGTCAACAGCCTGTGGCAACAGCAATCTTTCCCAGGAGCAGACGGGCAGGTCCTTTCCTCCAAGGACCCACGGTGTGCTTTAACTCCTGACTCTTCAGTCGGCAGTCAAGTGTTGGGCCGTTGGACCACCAAGAGTCTTGCCTGCATTGGCCTGGGCCTCCCTCTGCTTTTCTCTGCAACTCTTGGGTCTGGGACCTTTAGAGCTGGTAGCAGGTCAGACGTTCAGAAGGGATGGCGTGTAATGCGCTCTTGATAATTTAAGAGCAAATGGAATAAAATCCTTACCAAGCTTCCGGGTTCTATGTGTTGTTTCTTCCTCTTTCTTTTGAGGCCAGACAGATAAAAGAGACCACCTTGTGGAAAGTGCCCAACAGATGACAAACTGTCACCTTCAGCCCAGCTAGGAACAATAATATGAAACAACTACTGTCAATATCTCTATGCAACGTGTAGGAAAAGAGAACTCGGGAAAATTACGTATGTTCCTCTGAGTGCAGCCAGTAATTGGGAGACTTCATAGTGCAGAATTCCTCATTTTGCCTGCCCTAAGCATGGAGCACCTGCAGTCACACCCTCTCACATGCTCTACTTTACATCCACAGTCTACAAAGCACTGAACGAGAGATGAAGTGTTTGAAAGTAGCTTTTTGAGGGACATGTAGAGGTTTTGATTGTGCTCTTTCTTTCCCCAAATTATTTGTCATATAGGCTTGGCTTTATGTTATCTGTTGGGCCAAATGGGGGGTGAAATAGTCCAATTTTTAGGGGCAATAAATAAAGAACAGAAGATTAAGTGAGATAAACCTAGGAGGAGGCTTCCAAAAAGGCGTGGAGTCATTTGTACATGGTTGTTGTTTTTTTTTTTGACTGTAACACAGTTACTCAAACACGAGAATAGGACAAAACTAGAAGTCTGTTGTTTTGCACAAGATAACTCAGGGGAGAGCGCGAACACAGTCCCCCACTACCACAAAGTATGCAGTCGTGTTTCCCGCATTTGGGGAAATCGCAGGGATCAGCACACCCGCAGTGCAATGGGTGAGCCTCGCCCTGGGAAAACCACCTTCCTGATCACGGTATATGTTTTAAATTACATTTCTCTGTGCGTTTTGAAGCCCCTTTGAAAGGCGGGCAAGGTAAGGTATTTTTATCTGTCAAAAAGTCCTACTCCTCCGTGAGAATGGCTGGTATCCTCTCCAGCTTAGTAAATGAGCTCTTCCACTCCAATCCTTACACGAGGGCCACTGTGGAGCCCTGGTACAGCAGGGAAGTGCTGGGATGCTAAACGAAAGGTGCTGGTTTCCACAACTCAATGGCTGTGAGGTCTGAAGGTGGCAGCTGGAAAAGCCGTAGGGGGCAATTCTACTCAGTCACATGGAGTCACCATGAGTGAAAATGGTCTCAACCTCACCCAAGAACAACATCAACATAAAAAACACACAAAGAAAATGGATTCAAGTTTTATTTTATGAATGTTGGGAAAAGGCAGCACTTGTCCACTGGGAAGTTCATGCGCTTGGGCTTTGCAGGCAGGTTCCGTAAACCAAAACAGGAACCTTCTTTCTCCTTCCAAGAAAAGTCCTGGCAATAATTGGGCCCTGAGTAGAGTAAGGAGAACGTTCTAAACTTCCTGCCACTTGGAGTGTTGCCTATCATTAACATCTCAGGCTGTACAAGGTCTGACATGACCTTCTCTGCGCTGTTCAGAAGGGCTGACTCCCTATTTTCAAGTGAGGGCTGACAGACTACAAGTCTGTGTGTCTGTAGTGCTTTCCCGACAACCAACAGCCATAAAAAAAACTTCCCACTTTTAAACTGTTTCAACCATGGAAACATTCAAAATGACCCTCCTTCATTAAACCTCAGCTCCCTGCCCACTTGTACTTCTGACCAATGTCTTCACTTCAAAGCCAGCAGCAGCACCCTGTCCCTTGACTCAGTGAGGCCTCTGTATCTTGACCCAACACCTTGAACTAAAACAAAAAAAAAAACACACATGAAAACCTCATAATCTCCATATGCCTGCCTCCTAGTCCAGTGGCAGCAATTATGTAACCTCGATGATTTTTGCTTGTGTTTTTTTTAAGTTGCCACGGGAAGGACTGTGTCTGCAAGAAGTAATTACCGGCCTCAAAAGCCAACAATCTGCAATCCTACACAGACACAGCCTCCATCACTAGAGAACCTTTCAAAGAGGTCAAGCAAGTGTTAAGCAAACAACTGGTTGCTTTGCTACTGGAATGAACAAACAAGGGTGCCTATACTTTGCCAGCAAAACTCAGCATTTGGGGTGGAAATATCGATCATTGCGTTTAGTGCTGGCTCAGACGTCACTATTGGACAGGCACTCTATCCACCATGGAGGGAGACGGAGAGCTGGTGGTATAGTGAGTTATGCATCGGGCTGTGACACACAAGCATGGTGGTTCAAGCCCAACAGCAGTTCTGTGGAAGAAAGATGTATAGTTTTAGAAATCCAGCTCTGCTGGGAAGTCTATCAATCAGGGTCATTATAGACAGTCCTATAGGGTCATCATGCTTCAAAATCACCATGATGGCAGTGTTTGGGGGCTGAGGAGATAATTATGGCTCAATTATTGCCTTCCCTGGGAAAGGCTCGGGTTGATTTTCAGCCAATGGATCGCATGCTGAGCCGCAACCATCAGTCCGTGAAGCTTGCCACGATACTGCTGAGCTTTCAGAGAAGCTTCTACACAAGGAGAGACTAGGAAGAAAGGCCTGGAGCTCTCCTTCAAAAAATATCAGCCAATGAAAACCCTACGGCTCACAATGATCATTTGAGTTGAGTGTAGGGTCACCATGAATGGGGAGCAAACTTGATGGCAGTTATCAACTAACACATAAGTACTAAACATAGATACTTGTCTAATAAAATCTCCCTCAAGGCACCTTTAACATATCCAATTTACAGGGGAGAGGAGGGCAGAATGAAGCTGAGAGAGGTTGCTAACCTCCCTCCTTAGGACGTGAGCCAGGATTCAAACCCACAGCCCATAATTCTGCCCTGTTGGCTATTGGAGCAATTGACTGAACAGCATCTGACAACAGTCAGTGTTCCTTACTAGCCCCACATCCCTGAGTTGACAGAGCTTTGTGAGAGAGGAATAAAGAGTTGTCAGTTCAACTCTTAATTTCCTGCGAGAAGAAATGCTTTTCATTGGCTTCTCCTTTAAGGTAGGCAATTATTTTGGTTCTTCAGGTCTTTGCAACACCAACATGATGACCAGGGGTGGGGATGTGATGCTAGACTATTGAAAATAGAATCCAGGTGCCTTCAAAGGCAGAGCCTTAGACCCGGCC